TCAGCCAACAATCCACCTTCTTCAGTGCTTTCTCGAGACCCTCAACAGAAGCAGTGCCCTTGACTGGGCATAGAGGTAGCGTCTGAGAGAAAAGGGGACGGCTGATGTGCAAAGGATGGGTGAGCACCTACCTCGAGTTCAACTTCGAAATCTGCGGATTCGTTACCTTTGAAGCACATGAAAAATGGCGCCAGAGCTAACAAAGGATGATTCATGATGACCTTTGCATGGATCTGACCTGTGGGTGCTGGGCGGATGAGTGGATAGTTCGAAGCCAGCTCTCTGAAGGGGAGTAATGAGCTGTGATGAGCAGCCGGATCTACAATCAAAACCTGAATGGCAACGATCAAAGCTAATGTGTTTGTTAGAGATGAGCGGACCGCCCGACGGAGGCCTTTCGGAGATGCATCAGTAGCAAAGACTCGACTGTGGCACATGATTCCAATGAACCTGTCGATAGCTGCCGTAGCTCCAGCACCACAGAAGATGACTGAATGATCAAGCATGTGACCTGGCGCCTACGACCGGTGCACTTACCGGAGTCTTCGGCAGTACAATTGAAATATTTACGAATCTCCTCCCTTGCGTCTTCGCGGTAACGCATCGTTTGACGAGCAGTTGCCGAAGCCATGGAGTGAGTGTTCGCGTATCTGCATGACTTGACGACGGCGGATTCAGCCGAGATGACTTCCACGTACGTAGGACAGACGGTGGAGGATATGAATTCCTCAACACTAGTCAGACTTCTGCCTGAAGCAGTATAATCGCAGTATCTGAACTGAGGCTCTTGATTGCTCGAGTGACGGTTTCGTCACATCATCCTTCGCGTGGAGTCGTCGAAGGGTACGGGAATTCTCTCGTGCTCCCCGATACATTGCTCTCTGAGAGAGTTCACAATAGCTTCATACTCAGGCGTGGTCGAGGAGCCGGAGTAGACTCTGAAGTTCTTAGGAGAACGCAGTTCACCGAGGTTCATAGGAAAAGTTGCCTAAATGAGAGTAAACATGAGCCGAAGGAACTATGCCTATACGTGAACTCTGGCATGGGCCGAGACCATATCTTTGGTGGAGAGGCGACGAGACTCGTCGGATGGCGAAACCCATTCCCCCTGGCATCGATGAGCCATCGATGCCAGGGGAGACATATGAGAGAAGGCTGCGTCCCTGATGACTACGTCGTGATTGTTGTGTGCTCGATCAGTTGGTTCTTGACACTCCGACATCCACCTCACTTCGCGATTCATCAATCAGAATCGTTGTCATGATCTCGAGTCGAGATTCTCGACCGATCGCGTCGATGATTAGTTCATCTTCCAACATGATTAGTTCTGGAGCGTCACGCCCTGGGCGAGTCACGAG